AAGAGCGGGACATTCTTCTTTCTCAGCTGTCCCAGATCTTAAGGAAATAACTCAGCCTCTGTATTTTGACTCAAAACAAAGAAACTTTTAAAAAACATTTCACTTGAAACTTGCATAATCCTTCTAGTGGAGAAATCCTCCCTAAACTTTCATAATCCTTAGAAAGAGACACATTGCCACAGAAAGCCATGCCGCCAGGCTGCAGACACCTCCTTCCCGATGGCCAGGGTGCAGGCCCCAGACCCGCTGCCACCGCCCCCCACGGCCCCCTGGGCGCAGGGCTCAACCTGGGCTGGGGCTGCCCCCCACGCCCGGCTCCAAGATGGGGATCGGCTCACACACTTCACCCAAACTTCCGCACGTGCCACATCCTGTCTGTCTCACTGACATTTCAGACAGACATTACACAACCTGGCTTCAGGGAGGTGGAGAAACAGACGCCGCAGAGTCAGCGACCTTACTCTCCAAAGCCCCATGCTGACTGTGGCACCCAAGGAGCAACAGGGGAGCTACTCAGTGATCCTGCTGACCCCAGAAGGCAAGGCACCCAGCCCAGCTCCCAGGGGATCCTGGAAACCAGCAGGACAGACAGTCAGATGGATGGGGCAATGGACCATGCCCAGAGAACGAGCTGTGTGAGGCTCTAGCAGAGGCCAGACAAGGGCACAGGCGGGGCAGGCAGGGCCCCCAGCCCCCCTCACTGCAGGACTGCCTCTGGCCACAGGCAGAAGCTAGAGATGACTCTCAGGCCACCGTTTCCCCCATCTGGAAAGACCCTACCAGCCTTCCTGCTGCAGCCCTTGCCCTGGTGATCAAACCAGACCCGCGGACCCCATCCTTGTGCACGGGTGGGGGCTCATCCTGGAGCCAGACTGCAGAGCATCGCCAAGAAGGCAGCCTGCCCTCTGAGCCAAGCATTGGGAGCTGGGAAATCAGCGCTGCACACCACGAAAACCTGTAGCAAAACACCCTCACAGTAAATACACTTCTCCAAAAGGAGGCCAGAGGCAAAGGGACAGCCCACCCTCTGAAGCACCCCCCAGACCTGAGGACGTCCGCCGCTGCACCAAAGAGGGGTCCTGGAAGAAGCAGGCCAATTCCAGCATTCCCAGTTCCCAGTACCAACCCTTCCTGTAGGAATTTCAGCTTAAAAGAGCAAAATACAACTTACTCAGAGCGGGCTCCTAAATCCAGAACCCTTTCCTGGCCTCTGCACCTAAAAGATTCATTCATTCAATGCTCTCTTCAAGACTCAATGCTTACTGAGGCTGGCCAGAAAAAGTTACCAATTGTCAGGAACTCAGACAATCCACACCGCCATGCCTGCTGCACACGGCTCCATGCACCACGAACTGACATTGGTTGCACACACGAGCAATTCTAACAAAGACCCCTCGAAGACCTCAGGCGTCTGGAGACAGAGGTGAAATAATGTAACAACAGAAATTCTTCACTCACAAGGACATTCAAAATCACACACAGTAGTTAGGAGTCTGTTTCTCAAACACAGAGGCAGTGGACACCGCTCTGGCCGAGGGAGGCACCGTAGCACCTTGTCATCAGCCTGAAAGGAAGTGCTTGGCTACCCAGCAAGACGCCCCGTGGGACAAGAAGCTGTGTCCCAGGCAGCGGGCCAAGCGGCAGCTCAAACTGCCACCGTTTGTCTACTTTTCTGACTGACAGCAATCTATGCCAATGAAAAGATTTAGTCCAATTTCGTGCAACAGCCATCAGACAACCCAAGAGAAAGGGACAGAGTTGACCAGGCCAAAGAAAAGGGAAGGATGGAGAGGTAAAGGCTCCTGTCTCTTTGCCATATGTTCCAAGCAGCAATGACCCGTACAGACCCCACCCGTGACACTCAACACGTTAAACACCCAAGATCAATAAAACATTAGCCCCCAGTTTACACATGAGGAAACTGAGACATACAGAACCTAGACAACTCGCTCAAGGTCACACAGCGAGGGACAGAGTGGAGATGTGAGACCAACCCCCCAGGTTCCAGAGCTGGGCTGGCTCACTGCACATACCTCCCAATGACAACAGCCATAGGAATCCCTAAGAGGTGACTTGCGGCACTCCCAGGTAGCGCACATGGTCATCCAAGCTACACCAGCAGGAAGCTGGGACAGCAGTGAACACTTTCTCTGAGTCCCCTATGACATTAGGGAGACACGACCAAGGAAGACTGCCAACCCCTCACACTGTCACAGCACCACTGACATGCCAGGCCTCAGGCACAGCCTCCTGCCTGCACAGGGCCTCCCCAGGGCTCAAAGCTGGAGCCCTGCCTCCCACCCAGTTCCACACTGGGATGACCATAGGAACCACGACCACACCACAACCAGGCCTGCCCGCAAAGCAGGGCGGGCAGAGGTAATCAGGGTTCCAGAGAAACTGGGAAAATCACCGAGTCCACCTGAGCAGGAGACCCGGCCCACACCTCGCCTCGCACGAACAACCAGAAGGCTCACTCCCGCTCAGCAGAGCCCAAAGGCCTCCTGGAAGCAGCGTCCCCTGCAAAGAGAGTTCCAGTACATTTTTTGTTCCTTCTGCCCTCATCCTCCGTAGATCAAAAATATTAAAATTTTATAATACAAAAGAAGTGAAGAAAATCAAAACATATCCCATCAAGCTGTCAAGAGGCAACTGGGAGGAGCCAAAGGAGATCAGCAGTGGGACTACCGGTGGGGCTCGGGGGGTCCTCCCAGGCCACTCCTCCTAGGACCAGTGGGGTCTGGGCAGCCATGGGTCCACGCCCACCTTGAGAGAGCCACCCCCTTCTCATGTGGTGCCCCTGGCGTGTACACAGACAAGCACACTGCTGTCGAGGGAGATTTACAGGGGACCACGCAGCTCTGAACTCCCAATGGCATGGTCACTGAGCAAGGGGAGCCCAGCCGCTGCACCATCGAGAACTTAGAGAGGCAGGGCTTGGAGCACGAGCGCCCCACAAGGAGGGGACAGCGGCCCTCTGGTCCCTCCTCAGGAAAGCATGCAGGAGCTGGCAAATGTGCAGGGACCCAGTCCACACCACCATTGTGAGGGGAGGGCTGGGACTGCCACTCAGGCATGGACACCCCAGTCACTCACACTCACCACTCAGGGAATGTCTTTTTAATCAGTAAACTGGACTTCAGAGCCGTGCTAGAGAAGGCACTGAGAAAGGCCTCTCCAAACCATCTGCCAAGGTGACCCAAGTGGAGGCCTGGCCTGTCTCTAGGACCACAGCTTGGGGACATCCTGCCTTCCCCTCAAGGGGCACCCAGGCCGCAAGCTCTGGCCAGGCCTGCCCTGAGCCTGAGGACCCCTCACCCAGAACCACAGGGCCTGCTGCAAGGGAGGGAGAGGCCAGTCCTGGGCTCCACTCTATAGCAGCTGTGACAAAAAGGCCCTGCTGGCCACTCCACCGGGCCCCTGCAAAGCCCAGGAAGACAAAAAGACCACAAACACACACATGACCCAGACTCGGACAAAAACAAGACACACCCTGCTCAGACAAGATCCCCTGTTTAACACGCTGGAGATCGGTAACATGAATGTTTCCCAGCAGCTCGGGCCTCGCCAACGACCAGCGCTACGGTCCGCCCGGGCTCGTCACCACAGTCCCTGGGGAGCACACTGGCTTCTTCATGCCACAGGAGTTGGCGAGGGTGTGAGCACCCCAAACAGAAAGGCCCTCGGCTCACTGGGAGCACCCATCGTGTCCACCCACAACCACCTCCCCACCTGAAAGAAATGGCCACCAGCATCCTCACCCAGCCCCCATGGGTCTGCACACAGTGGCCACTGGGGCACTGGCCTAGCCCGGGACAGAAACACCACTGCACACACACAGATGCACACATGCATGCGGCCCCCTCCAAGCAGAGGCGACAGTCCCTCGCTTCCACAGCCCCTCCTCCCACAACTCTGACTCCGCTGGAGGGGCGGCAGAGAAAACCAGGCTGTAGCATCTATTCACAGATCTAGAAAAAAAAGTTTGATGCAATAGCTGAATTAATTAGGCCTCCCAAAAATAGCTGAGCCAACGCAGCACTGTGTGTGTGCAATTTAATAAACCATACTTTTGGGGGGGTGTGCAACAAAAAGTCCCTGAGGACCCCCAGTGACCGGTTTCAGCAGCTAGTGGGCCACAAGCTGCCCAAGCCGGATCCCACAGATCCTCCGCCTGGCAAACAACAGAGCCACGGCCAGGGCCCTTCCACTCGGTGCCCTTTTGCATTTCAGAAAGGCAGAGAAGGAAACGGGCATGTCCAAAACAAATCGCAGGCGCCAGTAACTCCAACACTGCCCGCTGACCAGGTCCCAAGCTGGTAGCCCAGTGGCACTTGCCCTCGACTCCGCCCAGGGACTCTGGGACTTCCTCCCTGGCAGGCCCAGGGCTGGAGTCACCAAGTCTCGGCCCCCTGCCCCTGCAGCCCGGACACCTGGCTTCATTTTTGTGTCTGTGTCCCAAGACTTCAAGGCACAAACAGGGAAACAAAACCAGGCCCCGCCTTGCCAAAACTGTCTCCTGGGGACCAAGGGCAGGCACACCTCTGTCTGCAACCTGGGAGGCTTCTGGGGTGAGAGAGCAACCTTCACCTCAACCCATCTGGACACCCCAAAGAAGACCTGGGCTGTGGCTCAAGGCCTGGGTCCAACCGGATCTAACTTGCCGAGTATGGGGCAGGCTTCTCTCTCAAGCGCCCTCCCGGCCTATCCAAGCAATGGCTGTGGGCCTCAGGGGGGCTTTTCCACCCACCAGGCCAGGCCTCCAGCCCCTACGCAGGCTTGTCATGGTGGTCAGGCACGAGGGCCTTCCAGCCAGGCCATCTGGCCCTGTTGATGGGGACACTGGTGCTGCCCTGAATCTCCTTAAAACGAAACAAAACCTAAGATGTGGGGTAAGGCAGTAACGCAGGTCCCAGCCTTGGGAGACTGGAGCCCCTGGCCCAGGAGGGCCCCCCACACCGGGTGTGGCCTGCCCAGCTCCCAGGCCTGGGAACACTCACCCAGGGCACCCGCCGCTTGTACTTGTTGCCATAGTCGAACTTCTCCTTCACGTCGTCCCGGCAGCGGCCCAGACGAGCCTGCTCCTCCTTGCCCGTGTAGTCCTGGCTCAGCAGGATGTAGGCCCGCCACTTGGCCGAGTCGAAGCCCCAGTGGCAGGTCCGGTTCTCCAGGGCCTTGTGCGAGTGCACCACGAACTTGTGCGGCGGGTACACGAGGCGGCAGTTGAGGCACTGGATGCAGGCGGCGCTTGGGCTGCTGTAGAGCTCAGGCACCAGCAGCCCCATGCATTTACCGAAGCACTCGTGGTACACGCGGATGCTGCGCTCGCTGAGCTCCAGGCCCATGGCCAGACTGGTGGACAGCTCCTTCTTGCAGGGCGGCTGGTAGGCGCCAAGGTAGAGCAGCGCGTTGCACAGGCGCTCAGCGTCCGTCTTGGTGATGAGTCCACACAAGGACGCCGAGAAGAGCAGGATGCCCATGACTTTGAGGATCTCCAGCTGGTCAGCCGTGCAGCGCGAGCAGTACATGTGCAGCTCATCGCACACCGAGTTGATCTGCAGTGAGAAGTCGCGCAGCACCGAGTTGAGGATCTGCAGCAGGCACAGGCGCTTCTCGCCGCCCACCACAAAGCACGAGATGGTCTCGCCCTCCAGCACCGTCTCGCAGCGCTCGGTGGAGCGGACGGACGGCATGAAGAAGGGCCCGGGCAGCGCGGGCGGCGGCGGCTGGATGGCGGGCAGGTGCACCACGGGCGGCGGCT